AATTTTGAGTTCAATTAAGGAAATTGGGCGTGTATGGTAGTTGTGTTGATTTTGACGATTTAGTAAATCAACAGGAAATAATGGTGTGTTTACTGAGCTGTTGGTAAGAGCATGGTTAGTGATGAACATGTAGTGTTGCCTGTCGAACGTGGGATGATTTGGTGTGGTGAATGAATTCACGTAATGATGGGCGAAGAGCTTAGCTTTTTCGTCATCTCGGTATTATTGTTGTTTATGTTAGCGGTTAAGAGTGCTTATGTTATTGTTACATACGTTTTTGAACTTGCGCCAGGAAAGCGTAGGGTTGGGTTTTGCTTTGTCAATAGATATACAGAATGTATTCCAGTTATGTTGTTGTTGGCTTTTGATGAGTTTTTGTATTTGACTGTTGGTATTATTTATATATACTTTTAGGGTGTGGTTGCGGTTTCTGATAAATAATCGGCGAAGTCTTAAGCTATCAAAGACACTGTCCCAAGTAAAACAATCACTCCAAACCTTAATTCTTGGAAACTTATCCCAGAAATAAACAGTCTTATCCATGAAAGAGTTCATGTCACACCTAAGAAGGATCTTGTCATCTGAGGAATCCAGATGGACATCACTGTCGACGAAATTCAAGAAGAACTTACAACCCAAGGACTTCAATTAGCCAAAACAGAAGACTGATTTTATCATCCCACTAGTCAAGATACCCATCTCTGACCTTCAGGCAGCTGAACACCTCATCCGTGAGGGTGTATCTATGTAGCACAGACATCATCAAGTTGAACCAGGTAAGATTCCATCACCCAGACCATTACAGTGCTATAACTGCCAGTGGTTTAGACACACGAAGACGCCCTGCACGGCAGCGAGCAAATGCGTCCGACATGACGATATGCATTCTGTCTCTGAATGCCCAAAGGCCAGAGATTCCACCATATTCACCAATTGTGGAGAACCCCACACAGCCTCTTACAGAGTATGCCCCAAATATCCACGAGTAACTAACATTAAACTCAAGGTAAGTTCTAATCCACTTTCTCCCACAAGTAGACCCACTCGTGCTTTCATCAACACACAAAAGGAAAACCCTCGCAGTGCCCCATCAACTCAAAGAACATTTCTGCCAGAACCCTCAAGACTACACAGGACAGACCAGACTACTCCTTCAGCCAATTCTGCTCCCAACCACCGCTTATTTACCTACACTAACTGCGTCAGAGCTCCAGCGCCTCCTGCTCCCATCTCCGCCACAGTAACTGCCAACATCTTCGCTTGCATAGCAGGATTCATTGCTGATATGATCTACTCCTGCCACACTTCGACCCAAGACTCACCTCCGGAAGATATGCCACAACTAGTGAACAATATCTGCTTCGGACCTAACACACCTCACCCATCTTTTGTCACAAATAATACATATAGTCGCCAAATAAACAACCAGTTCAACAGGCAAGTCATTCCTTTGATTATGACTAAAAATGGTCTGTTTTCTAAATGTTAACATACAGGGAGGTATATTTCATAAAAATACGAACTACTTAAACTATGCAACTCCACTCTAGCTGATATTATCAGTCTTAACGAGACTCTCCTAAACTAGAATAGTGGATTCAACTTACCAAACTTTAACATCCCCCAAAAATTCAAATCAGCAGGCACACGAGGCATAGCCTTACTCTATAATAAACGTTTTAAAGTATCCTTACCACAGTACCTTACATCCTGCAGTAATGAACACATCCTTTGCCATATTCACTTACCTTGCCATAACACACTAACTGTAGAAGGCATATAGGTATGTCAAACCTCGCTACCCGACACGTCATATATACAATCAGTTATAAACACCCATCCTAATATTGTAATCACTGGTTATCTTAACTCTAAACACACAGACTTTAACTGCAGTTCCACCAGTAGAAAGGGCAGAATACTACACCGCCTGCTTTGACGACAATAACTGTTACACCGTTAATAATACCAGCATGACTCACACCAATCCTAATGGAACACAAGACATACTAGATCTCGCCTTTGTATCCCCATTATTAACCCCACACTCTAGTAATTTCCAGGTTCTTGACAACCTCAGCAGTGACTATGACCCTATCTCCTTCACGGTGTACAATATTCACCCCACTACCAGACATTCTAACTAATGCTTCCAATCATCACGATATTGACAATCGCGCTTCTTTAATCACAAACACCATATTACACAGAAATCTTGGCCAGGTCTTCAGCAGCGAGAAGTATCCTCGGGGGTGGGTGCACTTGACACTGGACATTGGTGAAGGTGGTGGTGGAAAAGTCTGTGCAGTTAGTTCTCTTGCAATGTATGGCTGACGGAAGGTCCTAGGACAGGGCTGGCGAACTTATGGCACGCGAGAAAATATATATGAAGGCTATATGAGCACGTGAAAGAATTTCTCCGAAAATTATCGACAATTTGGGCACATGCTGTCCAAAAGGTACTCCAGCCCTGTCCTAGGAATGCTCTGGATGATCATATGGTAGATGTGATATTTTGCTCCGTGGGACTTGTGGGTTGACTAGGCGACGTGGTTTTCTTATTCTTGCTTGGTGAGACTGCTGGTGATTTAGTTGATTTTTGGATAGAGCCAGGCGAATTGGTTGGTGTCAATGATTGTGAGGAAGCAGTGTCAGAATTATAACTGTTGAGTAATGGCTCTGGGTCACTGCTGGAGCAGTTTTTTTCTGCTTCATGAAGCATGCCTAAATGTTTTGGCGAAGGCATGGTCCAATCCTTGGGATCTCGTCTGCATGAATGCCGTGAATAAACTTCGACAAGCACTTAGATTCAGAGAGCTCTGAAAAGGGCTGTTTATTTGACAACCAGGTTAATATCTATTACAGCTTTAATACCTTCTTATGCTGAAAACTATGAAAGTCCAGATTTTTAACTTAATAGAAACAAGAATGGCTGACCTTCTAATCATCAAACACTTACCTAGCTGGAGGTGGAGAAAAGTATGTCCTCTCTCTTCAACGGTCGTCGAGAAAAGAAAAATCTGTAACCTCTGTCCTTGAACCTAGGATTAGTGTTCCTTTAAATGATCTCCCAGTCTTCTAACAATCGATCCGACGTAAGCGCCCTCACACGTTGGGCAGCAGAATTCATAAGTAATATGTGAAAAACATACGATCTTTAAACCTGAAAAATTGTGAATTATTAATAAAGGTCTGACCACACATTGAAGGTAAATGTGTGGATATACTTTGTTCATTATGGTGTTTAGTTTTCTCTTCAAGATTTGTGAGTATGAGCCTGCGTACGATAGAATATTATAATCTATAACTTTGGGACGTGATAGTTCAGTGACCTGAATAGTTGTAGTTGTTGAACAGTTTTATTAAAAATAGAATCAGTAAAGTTGTTCGGGAAGGAGTTAGATTTTATAACAAATTTTAGTCTAAGTAACTCTTGTTGTAAAAGTTCCAGGGAACTGGTGATACAGAGTGCACCAGACGTAAGACATTTCACCAGTTTTTCTTTGAAACGAAATGGAACAAAACTGTTGTAAAATAGTCGTAGAAGTAGTATTCTAAAGTTAACTAAAGCAAATGTATAATGATGAAAGCTGAGATTCTGTTAAAACACCAAGCTTTTGATAGAAAAAGTGTGGAAGTCAGTAATTTGGGGATTTTATTCCTCATATAAAATGGAGGTGGCATAGTCTGCTATGTGTCCATTAGCCGTATCAAGTGATATGTTCATTTCCATCCCTGTCTTGTTTGGTTCGTTTTTTCAAGTTCAGTAGTCAGCCCTACATAGCTTTTTTATTTAGTGAAATTATTTTTTCTTAATACTTTACATTTTACATTATTGCAATAAGGATCTAGCTAATACATGTTTTTTAACTGAGTCAGAAATACTGTACATGTTTAAATCTTTTGGTTTACCTAATAGGCTAATGATAAAAAAAGTAGGTAATAAATGAGTAAGAATGAAAACATGCAAATTAAGACACAAATGTTAGCTGTAATAATTTGTGTCTCAGACATAATTACCTTAGATATATTTTGGCTAAGAAGGAAGCATTGTTATTGAAGATAGAAAAGTGTATTTAACAGAAAAAAAGATTTGTTCCATATTTCAAACTCTTAAGTGACTATCATTCTAGACACAGATAAGTTACATGTATGTAATCTAAGGCTCCACAGGCAGTGTGGTTCAATGGCTTCTCGCTTTGGACTTGTTGTTGGATGGTTGCGAGTTCGAAGCTGGCTCACTTCATGTTGCTGTGTCATTGAACAAGACACTTTATCCCACTTTTTCTAGCCCACCCAACTGCATGTACCAGCTGTTAGGTGGAAGTTAACCTGCAATGGGCTAGCATCCCATTCAAGGGGAATGTATCACCATTCTCATCTGCTTGTGCCATTTAAGCTGGAGATCAGAACCAGATCCTATGTGTCATCATGGTATGGAAGGGATTTAACTTAGTCTAAGACTCCAGTGAAAGACATTGGTAATCATGATTCATTCTTCAGAAAAAGGCTTAGGTTTATATTTATTGCATGTAATTTATCAAATGCCATTCATGTGTGTTGAATTTTCTTGATTTCATGCTGTAAAATATCATCAGTATAAGGTACCTGACTAAAAAATAACTTTAATTTCAATACATTTGTGAAGTAGATTTTTTTGTCCTTGAGATATCTTAAACCAAAGAATTTTTTACTCTCCTGTACAAGGAAACAGTTTTCTAAAGTCATAACTCTTACTGAATAATAAATGTAAGAATTCAGATTAAATTTTAAGTGCTGGTGTGTATTATGTCCTTCAAAAGAATTCACAGCTACTGTTTAAATGTAGCTGAGAAAGGTTGGGGAAGGAAACTTTTCTATACAGTTTTAAATACTTGACATATTTCTTCCCCTCAGAATAATCCAAAGCTAATATTACTTTAGTATGATTAAGAAATTCTTGGTGAGAAAACGTTTTTCTGTGCAAGTTGAAGGTACCTATTTTCTTGTTTTTATTTCAGCTGAATTTGCCACCTATTTGAACTATTGCCGTTCTCTTCGGTTTGAGGAAAAACCTGACTATTCATATTTGAGGCAGCTACTGAGAAATTTGTTCCATAGACAAGGGTTTACTTATGACTATGTCTTTGATTGGAATATGCTAAAATTTGTAAGTATTATATTTCTGGTACTATACAGGGTATATCAATATTGCTTTGAGAAAGACACATGGGACATGTGATATTAAACTTTGAATTAATATATGAGTATTGACTGATCTTATTTGTCATATTAAAGTATGTATATAACTATGACCCTGTGGCAGGACTTATCTGAAATATTATCCTGAAAAAGAGTAATATTTAATAAAGATAGTTGCTAAAAATATATATGTATAATTAAATGTTGTTGTACTCTTTGTTTCATTAGTTTTTGTTCTTCACAATTCTTTCCTTTTTCCATTTTAGAAAACTGAATTCATTACAAGGTTGAGAACATAATTTTTTCTTGTACATTGCTATATTAAATAACTGAAACAACTTTATAGTACATTAGTTATTATGAATGTCAGGAAATATATGTTATACATTAAGAAACGGTTGTGCTTTTTCATTACTTATAATCCTATTCTTATGTTGTGAAGTAAACTTTATAGTGTGTATTAGCTTGATCATAGTATTTTTATGGTGTAGGGAGGAAACAGAAACCAACAGGAGCAGCAGCAGGAAGACCGAAAAGACCGGCATCACCAACACCTTAGTAATGCTCCTCGAGCAGTTCTTCCACCACCTACAACAGCCAACAGTAACAGACAGCGTGGAATTCAAGACACCATAAGTCCTGCCACGGGTAGGTTCCTCTTAGTTCATTTCGTACTTCCTACCATCTTATCTACAGATGTCATGGTCAATTTTGTTACAAGCTCACATAAAGAAGCTTTACCCATTCTGATCCCCTTCTCTCTATACCTTTTACTTGCTCTTTCCTTAAATATTATTTAAGTGAAACAAGCTGCCAGTTTCAAATGTGTGTGTGTGTGTGGGGGGACTGATGTAGCAGTGATGTTTTATTACTATTTTGGACTCAGTGTAAAAAGATTTAATGTTAATTTGTACTGGTGGTGGGGAATGTTAAGTATATTTGTGTTTGATTATATTAAAATATCAACACAACAAGATGGTGAATTAAAAGGTGAAAATATAGAATTGTCATTGTAATAAAGGTGCTATTTAAAGGAAGAAAAAGTAAATGTGATGTTAGTTATATAAGCTTTTAAGTTTTTTGTATTACTTGTAAAACTTTTTTCAGTTGTAAGTTTGTAAAGTTGTACGAGTTCGTAAACTGAGTTATGATAGAGTAGCAAGTATTATATTTCATAAAAATCATTCAAAGTATTTATACTGGGTAAAAAAAGCTTGCAAATTTGAAAATGTTCCCAAAGTCTAAAACAAAAGTTTTTCCAATTGCACGTGTAATTTAACTTGTTGCAGACACAGTGCAGATAGTCTTTTATGATAAAACAAACAAGATTTAATTCATTTAGGCTGTGAAACAGGATTTTTTTATTATTGTACATACACAGACACATTGGAAAGTTGGTTGGCACAACTTACAGAAGAACTACAGAAATTTGTATAAATTTATTTTCAGTTCTAATTCAAACTTTAATAAATACTGCCCAAAACAGTTGAGTGAGAATCAAAGTTTTCTACATTCTTGGTATGACAAGGTACAACAAAGTGGCATCCCTGAGTTCATTTTCATGCAAAACAAGTGTCAAATGGTCAGTCATGTAATATGTCATGCATATTTCAGTTGCATCCAAAAAAAAAAGTCAAGGCAACACAATGTGTTTTCGTTAAGTAGTTTGAATAACAGGAGAATAGGTAGAGAGATCCAGTTTAATAGTAAAACATTCCAGGATCTCAGTAAAGACATTTGGCTGTTCCAGGATGTTGTTTGTGATAGGTTGTCTAGAAGCTGATCAAACACAAGAAGTTATTGAAGGATGCATACAAGTTTCACAAGAGGACTGCTATTTGACAATATGGGTTTAAGCGACCAGTGGTCCTCTGTTTCCCAACTAATTCAACAGTGCAGAGTAGCAACTGGATGAGAAATATGCATGAAAATGGTCAGAAACATGTGTTTTTTAGTTTTTATTTAGGGTTGGCCTTTAGACCTACTGACGAATGACATGTTTCCTTGTATTCATCTTCACAAAAAAAAATTAATCATCAGTATTGTCGAGAACATGGGAAATCGTCAATTTGATATATAGGCAAATTCTTGCTCACAGATAAATCATACCTTGCATTGCATCCAGATACAAGATGTGTACCCATTTGGAGAGTGCCAGAACTAGATTCAATTCCAATTTGAGGGAGGAAAGACAACTATGTGGTAGTGGTTCCATACTGTTTTGTGCATGCACAACCATAATGCTCAACTGTTTAACAACATCTTGGAAGAAGAGGGTATCTAGTAAACAAATTTGCCAGCACATATGAATCTGAGCATGTGTGAGATGCTTTTGGAGGACACTCGGCAGCATGTGACTCACCTCCAAATAGTGTTGATAAACTGAAAGAAACTCTGATAAAGGAGAGCCATAGTACCTTAGAAATTCACTAATTTTAACCTTAAACCTTACTACATTGATATGACTTCAAAGGTGGTCACACATATTATCAAACATTTTCTGCTCATTTGTTCAGCAGAAGTCTGTTGTGCCAAATGAGCATATATGAACATTCAATTCAATAGCAGACTTGTATATTAAATCATGTAAAAGGTGATGTGTCATTTGTTTTTCTTAAAATAAATTCAGGAATGCTATATAGTGAGAATATAGAAAGCTATGATTATCCACCAATTATTTTGAGCAGTTTTTCTTCAAACACTTAAATCCTGAGAATTATATGATCTTTATGTGGTTAGATCTTTGTTAGAAACATTTATAATCCTAGGTTGTGGGAGTATAAATATTATATTAGCTTAATAGGCTACTGTTACAAACTTTTGAGTAAGAAAAATGCAAAAGAAAAAGCCAGTACTGGATGCAGATTATCAAGCACATACATCTTTTCCTGTATTAAAAAATATTTCAATTCTTAGCCTTTCATAAAAAGTACATTCTTTTTTTTCCCTATCATGTTCTAACCATACATATATTTTAAGCCCATCCTCCTTGAATATGACAGTGTAATTATCAGAACTTTTTGACAATAACTTTAATATTTGTAGATCCCTCATTTTAAGTTGTTTTATTGGCTTACTTTGAGTTAATTTTTCCAAAATAAGTGTAAGTGCTTTATTGCAATAGATATTGATTAAAAGTCATTGTGAATAAGTTGCATGCTACAACAAGTAGAGAATCATAAAAACTTTGTTTTTAATGATGTCATGAGATTGCTCCATTGTAACCAGTTAATCACATTTTGTGAAGCTAGGAAGGGATCATTTATTGGTCAACCAACATTGCTAAGGGCATTCAAGACATTTGCCAGCTTAAGCAAGTTTTTTACAAGTAACTTGTAGGTGTAGTCTAATCTATGCTTCAGGGAGATTGATGATAACTGAAAAACTTTTGTACAACTGACCTGGAATTTTGAGGAGCCTAAAATTTTAAGTTGGGTTTGATGTGAATCACCAGCTTAGCTCTCATTTGGAAAAAATAACTCACTTTTCAACTACATTTAAAACAAGAAAAGTTAAGGCACTTTTCAAAAATTTAGTGTTTTTTTTTTTCAAACTGTCTTTGAAAGAACTTATCAGTATACCTTAGCAGATTAAGCTTTGTAATTAGAAGTGTACATCAGGTTACACACTTGTGTTCCTGTTGGAGTGTGTTATTTTCAGCATGAGTGACACAAAACATTAAAAGTATTCATCATATTTAGTGCATCCATTGTCATTACTTTAATAACAAACACCTTTAAAAAGTATACAATCAAAATAATAGACTTCATTAAACACTATCTCTTGAAATACTATCTTTGTCAGCAGATTTGCTTACCCGCATTTTGATTTCATATCTTCCAAAATTCAGTTGCAAAAGTATTTGTAAAGTGAGCCTTTTTCTTGAAATTATACTTAGATAGACCATGTTATATAAAATGTCACTATGATATACATCTGTGTGTTGTCAATTTGTTCTACAACATTTCTTACACTTTCTGTGTGTAAGGAACAGTTTGTGTTTTTAGCACAAACATAAGTTTATTCATTTCAAATAGATACTTTCATCATCCTTATTTTGGTTTTATTGTGTGGTATTTGCTGATTAATGGACGTATTTTCCATTCCACTTTTTTATCATATTGTGGCACCATTGGTTTGGTGAGACCTATTTGATTTCTTACATGTTTTAAGATTATTTTTTAAATAAAGTGCAGGATATCAGAATTGCTACCAAACAGCTTATATACATGTAATGAACATATAAAGTGTGTGAGACATTGATCTACATTTTAGTACCAGGCCTTGTAAGTCTTTTGGTGCAAGATTATGAGTAGATGTGACAAGTCCACAATAAGAATGAATGAGATAAAATGTCATGGTAGGTAAAACAAAGAACTGTAACAATGAGTACAACATTGTATGATTGTTTTGTGTGAACTATTGAAAGTGACTGAAGAACAAGATTATTTTATGTGCTTTAGTGCTCAAAGTTGTAGAAACAGTTGTAGTATATCTAGCATCTAATATACAATATATAGATCCACCAGACTTGTAGAAACAGTTGTTGTATGTTTAGTATCTAATAGACAATATATTGACCCTTCAAACATGTTCAAACAGTTGTATGTTTAGCATCTAATAGACAATGTATTTACACACCAAACTTGTAGAAACAGTCGTTATATGTCTAACAGACAATCTATTTACACACCAGACTTGTAGAAACAGTCGTTGTATGTCTAATAGACAATCTATATACACACCAGACTTGTAGAAACAGTTGTTGTTCGTCTAGCATCTAATAGACAATGTATTAACACACCAGACTTGTAGAAACAGTTGTTGTATGTCTAGCATCTAATAGACAATGTATTAACACACCAGACTTGTAGAAACAATTGTTGTATGTCTAGCATCTAATAGGCAATGTATTTACACATCAAACTTGTAGAAACAGTTGTTGTATGTCTAGTGTCTAATAGACAATGTATTTATACACCAAACTTGTAGAAACTGTTGTTTTAGGTCTAGCGTCTAATAGACAATGTATTTACTCACCAAACTTGTAGAAACAGTTGTTTTAGGTCTATCATTTAAAAGACAATGTATTGATATACTATTGGATTTTTCTAGGGCTGTAGAAATTCATCAGAAAGTAAGTTTTTTTTTTATACTTGTATTTTTTTTTTCCAAAAATTTTTGTTTTGGGAAGTTTTTTGAGTATTGTGCTTTATATATTTTATATTTTCATTTTTACCACATTTTTGCAGTGTGCTCTTGATATTGAAGAGGTTGTATAGCTTTACATGGATAACCAAAAATGCTTCTATAATGTGAGAGTTGTATTATAATTGTAATGCCATATTGCATTATGATAAGCTTCTTTTGCTTAGTTAGGATATTTATTGAGTCATCAGTGTCAGACAAGATCTGTTTTTCTGGTATAATATCATTTGCTGCTAAATTGCAAAGGCGACTGTTCTTAGAAGCTGCATTCAAGTACAGACTTAAAGATTAGGAAAGTCAATAATGATTACTTTAGTATCACTTCAAATGCATTGCATTTGTTGCAAATAGTTTGCACATATTATGATTCTAAAGTGATGATTATGTTTAACTTAATTTTGAACCTATCATCTATGATTCTTAAAAGATAAATTAATAATGGTGCCTCTGAAGAAAATAACCATCTTAATGGTTGACAAATGTTGGATGTTTTCTAAATGCTAGTTTTGTCCAGATTAACCATTAATCTATTAAAAGCATAAATCCATGAGTTTTAGATAACTTGCTAAATGCTTGGAAGGTATTGGTAATATTATAACATTAATGTTATTCTAACTTCTTTGCTGTGTATCAGACACGTTAGGTTTCTATTCTGCAGGAAATGTTTATTAGATGTTATGTTTGCTATTACTTTTCTCCAACCTTATGGACCATATAATTTACAACAAATACTTTTTGTGACACATCATGAGATCTATTTTTGATTTGAAATAATCACTTTTTTTTATTCTAGCCAAATAATGGAAACACCATAAAAGTTACAAACTTTTATTTTAAAATGTGTAATTTGTAGATAAATATCCATTGAATAGCAAAACATGAAATCTTTACTAATATACATTTTTATCTGAAGTATTTGAACAATACATCTTAAAAAGGGAGTGCTCTATTCTGCCACTGTGGTTTCATTTTAATAGGCAATGGGTCTACCTTTGGTGTTAGTCATATTCTGGACTTTGTCATTAAATGTAATACTTGCTACAACCTTTGGTACACATTGGTTTACATCTAGGGGAATAGAAACTCTGCTTATTTTGCAAGATAGCTCTTAATCCTGTGTTAGTCTTCCAGTGTCTTCACGGACCCCAAAAATTTTGTAAACATTGGTGCCAACTGATGGAGTACGTACATGTTTGTTGTTCTCAGTAGCTTTAGTATTCAGCTAGTTTTGTTAAATTGTTATACTTAGTTTAGGTGGTAAAAGAGAAATAAGTTGTAATATTCAGTGTTCATTTATTGATTAATAAATAGGAAAAATTTGAGTGTTAGTGTTTTTTGTTTCTAAAAAATAGTTTATTAATATTTATTATTCTTTAAATATTTTTAAATAAATGTTTTATGATGAGGTCTGCTTGGACCCAGGAAGAGTGACTATGCAAAATATTTACAGAAGGCTAATGCAGGGTTAAGTATAGTGAATTTTTTTTTTTTTCAGGCAGTATTTTAAAGCCTCTTATAGCAGTTGATTTCGTATTTGTGTCAGGTCTAAGCAAATTCTGAATGGCAATTGACTAAAACTAATGTTCAACACAGAC